AGAATGCAGCTGCTATTATACAACTATTGTTAGATTTTAGCTGTATGCTAACTAAAAATAACTGCTGTGGAAGGCAAGTTCTGCTTTACAGATATTGCATTGAACAGGTTTCTGTTTCATTTTCTTAAAATGATCCCACACTTTTGAGCTCCGTTGTCATGACACCAGAGCCTGTCTGTATAATGTCTTGTGACGTCCACGGCCTACACCAGTTACCACTACTGTGCATGTGTGTCAAGGACGGAAAGGCAGATGTGGCAGTGGAAGGTGTCAAAACAGTTTGGAGAGAAAAACAATGTAAAGAACAAAAAAAAAAGTAAACGGTTAATCGATTATTAAATTAGTCGTCGATTATTTTAATAATCGATTAGTCGTCGATTAATCGATTAATCATGGCAGCCCTACTTAAAGACACGTCCCAGAGGCGTTTCTGGTACCAAAAGGCGTTTCTGGTCCCCACCTGTCGTTTTGCTCCTCAGCATGGCTTCCTAAAAACGCTGCAGGATTTCTCAAACATGCATGAATGAGTCAGAGCAAGGCGTTGGACGTGGGTTTTTTTTTTTTTGAGAGTATAACATTATAACATGATATAAAACTCAAAAAAGTTGATTTTTACATGATATTGCCCCTTTAAAAGAACACTAAGGTGAGAGTGCTTTCTCTCTTTGTCTGTCCTRCAAGAATATTTGCAGTCATGTACCCCTGAAACAGATCTTTCCTGACCTCAAGCCAGTTTCACGCTACATTTAACACATCTTTGTGTTTCAGGCTCAGAGCAAGTTTGCAGTACRAGACAGTTATCTGAGTCACATTCCGTCTGTGGTTGAGAGAGTTCTCAAGAACCTCTAACAGAACGGGCATCTGCCTTGACAGGCAAGTTTTTTTTTAGAAAAAAAATAAAAGAAATGTACAGCACAGGAGATCAGCTGTAAASAAATGTTAACTGTAAAGCTGTAGCATGTGAGCTGAACATAACTTCAGCTGACCTGATAAAGATCCAAACCACCCAGTTAAATATGGCACATAATTACACCTAATCTGGAGGGCATGGCTGCTTCAGATCCTCTCATTGAGGTTTCTTCAAAAACAAAACTTAGCCTGAAATTACTCCAACGCTTAAAACGTGGGTAGATCCCACAATCTGACATACTAAAGGGTTTTTCATGGTGGCTCTCAGGTTTCAAGAGGCTCTGGAAAATACTGGCCCACATCCGTTWACCATCATGTGGCAGAGAGAGTGGGAAAGGGTGTGTGCAGAAAGAGGAGGATGCCAGAGAACGGGAGGAGTGTTTTGTTTTGTTCTGCATCCTGCAGAAGCTGTGCTGATGAAAACTGCACAAAAGCTAGAATGAAATGTTTGTTTTATCCACAACTGCATCCAGAAATCAATATGACTGACACAGAGATGAAACTTTGCGAGCAGAAAAACTTGGTGTTTTTTTTTTTATTACACTTGAAAAAATTGCAGCCCCTGTTATAAAACTGTTTATTAAAGTTTAAGGCCGGGGCATTACTGGGCAACTAGTCGTGCTGTTTTCATGAGACTGTGCATGAAACAAACCGAGAACTGCGTGAGACTGAGGCGACTGTTTGACAATCTTTAAGAAATTTCCAAGTAAGCTGAGCACTATAGACCTCTATAGATCTATAAATAAACCTGCTGATGCCTTTCATACCAGTCTGAGGAATGTGGCAGCAACTGGACAAGCGCAGGATAAACTGGGACAATGAATGTGCATGCAAGTGCTGCTCTAAATGCACA